AATGGCCCTAATTACCTAGATTGGTTGCGTAGTCTTAAGCTTGTGCTAACTGTTGAGGGGCGTCTCTATGTTTTGAACGAGAGGCTTCCTGCCACTATACCTGCCACAACGACTGATGCTGAAAAGGAAACTTATGAAGTTTGGAAGAAAGATGACACTCATGCTAGGTGCTATATGATAGCCGCCATGGAGCCCGCGCTTGCGAGGAAATATGAGTCTCACTTGCATGCTTTCGATATAAAGGCTCATCTCGATAGCATGTATAGTGAGAATATTAGGGCATCGAGGTACGCTGCTACAAAGGAGTTGATCACAGCGAGACTGCGCGAAGGGACTTCGGTCCACGAGCACTGTCTCAAAATGATCACTCTCCTTGAAAAGCTAGTGAATCTTGATGTCACCCACCCGGCCGAGCTCTCGTTGGATTTGATCCTGTTGTCTCTTCCTAGTTCCTATGAATCGTTCATAGTGAACTTCAACATGAACAAACTAGATCCTCCCTTGGATGAGTTAATGAACATGTTGGTCAGCTTCGAGTCCACCATTAAGAAAGAGAAGTCTGTTCTCATTGCTGCTACTTCTGGAAAGAAGAGTTCTTTCCAAAAGAAGAGAAAGGAAAGAGTTCCCTTCCCAAACAGCAAGTTCGAAGTGGGTGAAGGTAGTGGGGGCCCCAAAGCAAAGGTTAGCAAACAAGTTGATGATGCTTGCCATCACTATGGAAAGAAAGGACATTGGCGCCGCAACTGCAAGGCTTACCTGAAGCAGAAAGGTTCTGAAAAGGGTACGTATTTCATTGACGTAAATTTGTCTGTCAACTCTTCTTCTTGGGTATTGGATACGGGCTGTGGCTCACATTTGTGCAATGATTTGCAGCTAATGACAAGAAGTCGAAGACTTAGAGCAGGTGAGACCTACCTAAGGATGGGGAATGGAGCAAGAGTTGCTGCTGAAGCCATTGGCACAATTTACTTAAATGTTTTGGATTCTAGTTTTCCTATTGTTTTGAACGATTGTTTATTTGTTCCGTCGCTCATTAGAAACCTTATTTCTATTCCTGTATTAGATATTGAAGGTTTTACTTTTGTTTTTGGAAATTCGATTTGCATTATACAAAAGAATGAGAATTTAATTTGCAAAGGACGACTATTAAACAACTTGTATGAACTAAATCCAAGTGAAATACCTATTAATGTTATATCAGCAAAACGTAAGGAGATAGATCAAAACCCCGCACAACTTTGGCACGCTAGATTAGGTCATGTCTCTTTAAGAAGGATGAACGATTTTGTTAGTGAAGGATTGTTCTCTTTGGAGGGCGTGAAATCACTACAAACTTGTGAATCTTGCCTTAAAGGGAAAATGACCAAATCACCCTACAAAGGGAAAATGGAACGAGCCGAGGGTCTTTTGGATTTGATCCATACAGACGTATGTGGTCCACTAAGTGTTAGTGCGAAGGGTGGATATAACTACTTCGCCACCTTTACCGACGATTATTCTAGGTATGGGTATGTGTACTTGATGATGTACAAGTCTGAAACATTTGAAAAGTTCAAAGATTTTAGACATGAAGTAGAAAAGCAACTCGGACGAAGTATTAAGAAGCTGCGATCCGATCGTGGTGGAGAATACTTGAGCATCGAGTTCATTGACTATCTAAAAGAAAATGGGATACAGTCCCAATGGACTCCACCGGGAACTCCTCAACTTAATGGAGTATCTGAACGTCGGAATCGAACTTTATTAGATATGGTTCGATCCATGATGGGGTTCACAAACTTACCGGCATACTTGTGGGGTCATGCACTCCGTACTGCCGCGTATTTGCTGAATAGAGTTAACACCAAAGCAGTTAAATCCACACCTTATGAACTTTGGCATTCCCGGAAACCCAATTACAAACATATTAGTATATGGGGTTGTCCCGCTTATGTGAAGCGGTTAGTGGGAGATAAGTTGGATAGTAAATCCGACTTGTGCTATTTTGTGGGGTATCCCGAAGACTCAATGGGATACGAGTTTTATTATGTCAAAGAAGCAAAGACGTTTGTTTCGAGAAATGCCACCTTTTTGGAAAGGGAGTTTCTATCCGATAGAAAGGGCAGCATGATAGAACTTGAAGTAGTTCAAGAACCACAAAGTGAAGTTCAAACGCAAGAACAAGTAATCGAACCAATACAACAAACCACTAATATACCTCCTGAACCTACGGTACGTAGATCCGAAAGAGTTCGGAAAATGCCGGATAGGTTATTCCTCCTCGAAAATGATGAAGATCATGTTGATCTTGGACAAGATCCAAGAACATACAAAGAGGCCGTATCGGATGCGGACATGGGACATTGGCTAACTGCCATGAAATCCGAAATGGACTCCATGTACTCCAACAAGGTATGGACCTTGGTAGATCCACCCAAAGGAATTGTTCCTATAGGCTGCAAATGGATCTATAAGAAGAAAATTGGAGTTGATGGAAAGGTATCGACCTATAAAGCTAGATTGGTAGCAAAAGGATACACTCAAAGGCAAGATGTTGACTATGAGGAAACTTTTTCGCCAGTCGCGATGCTGAAGTCCATTAGGATTTTGCTGGCCATAGCTGCGTGGTACGACTACGAGATATGGCAAATGGATGTGAAGACCGCCTTCCTTAATGGAGATATTGAGGAAGAAATTTACATGGCGCAGCCGGAAGGCTTCATATCTTCTGGAAGTGAGCAAAAGGTTTGCAAGCTCCAGCAATCCATTTATGGATTGAAGCAAGCATCCCGTAGTTGGAACATTAGGTTCGACTCAACTATCAAAGAGTTTGATTTTGAGAAGAATCCGGAGGAACCTTGTGTATACAAGAAGGTTAGTGGGAGGGCAGTGATATTTTTAGTGCTTTACGTTGATGACATTCTACTCATTGGGAATGACGTAGGAATGTTGCAGTAAACGAAAGCATGGTTGTCCACACGTTTCTCAATGAAGGATTTGGGAGAAGCATCTTATGTATTAGGAATACGCATCTATAGAGATAGAGCGAGAAAGATGCTTGGTTTATCCCAAAGCCTGTACATAGACACCGTTATGAAACGGTTTAGCATGGAAGAATCCAAGAAAGGATTCTTGCCAATGTTCCATGGGGTTCGTCTCTCGAAATCCATGTGTCCGCAAACACCTAGTGAAATCGAGGAGATGAAAAGGACGCCTTATGCTTCTGCCATAGGAAGCATAATGTATGGCATGCTATGTACGAGACCCGATATTGCGTATGCTGTGAGTGTCATAAGCAGATATCAGTCTAACCCCGGCCCGGCTCACTGGAAAGCCGTGAAAGATATCCTCAAGTACTTGCGAAGAACTAAGGATATATTTTTGGTCTATGGGGGTGCCGAGTTGAAATTTGAGGGTTTCACTGACTCTAGTTTTCAATCGGATGTGGATGACTCAAAGTCGAATTCTGGATTCATATTCACGCTTAATGGTGGTGCCGTGTGTTGGAAGAGTTCCAAGCAAAGCACGACGGCTGATTCCACTACCGAAGCGGAATACATTGCAGCGTCCGAAGCTGCAAAAGAAGGGACTTGGATAAGGAAATTCATCCAAGAGTTGGGTGTCATTCCTGATGCTAGTGATCCAGTACCGTTGTACTGTGATAACACCGGAGCCGTGGCGCAAGCTAAGGAGCCACGATCTCATCAGAAGTCTAAGCATATTCTGAGGAAGTATCACATGATCCGAGAGATCATTGATAGAGGTGAAGTTAAGGTAGAACGAGTCACCTCGGAAGAGAACGTTGCAGACCCCTTCACGAAGCCTTTACCAAGATCGGTCCATGAGAAACATCGAGAGTCGATGGGATTGCGGTTTATGGGTAGTTGGCTTTAGGTCAAGTGGGAGATTGTTAGAGTAGGTGACCAACAAGCCAACCTGTGGCTGTGGTCTTTCGTATCCTCTAGCGTTACCACCCCTCATCGCACTCCGCGACGCCACTTCAATTAGCCTACCAGGTGCCTCCACCCCCACCTCAGAGCTCGCCGACGCCGCCAATGCCGCCATCACCGCTGGTCCCAATTTAAGAATTTGAGTCTTGATTATTTACTATTAAGTCCCTGTATTTTTGGAAATACTCAGATGACCCCACAAAAGAAGTTGTAAACGCCATAGGACACACCAACTTCTCAAAAAGACATACAAGTCACTCAACTTTATAGAACTTCTAAAAAGTTCCTAAGTTTCTCCATTAATTGAACAAAGGGCCTCAGAAGATCAAAAATCTACAAAAAAGTCAGTGAAGAGTGAAAAAATCATAAAAGGGCAATAACCTCCATTTGATCCTGCGAATACATTAAAAACAACAAAACAAATATACTCTCGAGCGACTCTAGCTACTCAAGACTCGATTGAGAGTGGGGGGCTTAATGATGTACCTTATTGGACCGACCCAATAAGCCAATAGTATGCGGGCCATTGAAGGCCCGATCCATCTACAATGTGATTAGCTAATGGCCCAATTCCACAAGATCTTACAAGCCCATTAGGGTTTAATAATCCTACTTAGAGTTCTACTCTAATACGAATTCTACTAATTACACTATAAATAAACCAAACCATCTACCTCACTTTACAACTGTTCTCTAGTTCTGATACCCAGAACTCTATTGTTCTACCTGCCCATCTCCTTGCCTAGACATTTATCTGAGTTGAGCGTCGGAGGGGTTTCCGTCGGATCAACCCCGGCTTAGTTCACGTGTCTTAGTCTTGCAGGTTTGAGATTCAGGTGTTCCTCTTTATGCGTCAGGGACACCGACCAAGATCACCTACTCGCGTGCACTGACATACCCTCGTGTTCTCGTTTAATCCACCCAAGGTGAGTGATAATACATCACTCCATGCATAGGAACATGTCCGTAAAAGGGGGTATGAGAAGCATATGGACCGGCAACATCTTCAGCAGGTGGTACCCGAGACGTAGATGCATAATAGTTCCCCTCTCTCATATGTCTCACGTCATCCTACAATTCGGCAGTGCTGAAGTGTCTTCTGTTATATCTACCTCGTGTCGGAGAAGGTATAGCAGGTATGGGAGGTATGCGGGACGAAACACCTTCTCTACGCAGAAGTCGAGTCCCAACTGCATACATTCGATTGTCATATCGAGACACTGTCCTAGCAGCAAGACTCATGGATATAAGTTGATTACCCTAAAATAAAAGGCATTACAAGTTTAAGAACTTAAAGAACTGAAAAGCCAAATGAAAAACATTAAAAGTAATGGTTGTTTACTGACCACTAGATCCAGTAAAATTGGGTCTCTGACCTGAAAATCAATATTACTAAGATTGTCAACCCGCGAAATCAAACGACGTGTGTGCCTCTCATACCACTCGTAGTATCATGGGACCATCTGTGGTCCACTAATCTCAATAGATGGATAGTCGATGAAAGAATCGAGTCGGGAATGCCATCTATCAACATAGATCCCGTGAAAACGAGCCCAATATCTCCCCCGAGCACCTCGACGATCATAAGAGCATCTCTAGTGGAACATCAATTGGGTGTTTTTGTCAACTCCCAAAAATATAGGGAGTTGCATGTGCTCTAGTGGGTTCAATTTTCTTCCTCGAACATGCCACGTGGACTGGGAGTCCTTAATTCACTCCCTACAGTTAAAACTTGTTTTGGGAGGTGAATGTGGGTCCACATGCATTATTTTAATGGGGATTCATTGAATTGTGTGCATGTAAAAACTGTGTTCCTATTATTATTATTTTTTCTTTTTTGTTTAATAATGATTAATTCTTTTATTATTTGATTATAGTATTTTTAAGTATATATATATATATATATATATATATATATATATATATATATATATATATATATATATATATTTGTTTTTTTTGTTAAGTAATGTTTCATTCTATTTTATTATTTAATTATATTATATATATTTTTAGGAATTATAATATTAAATTTTATTGGCTTTAATATTAATAATAAAAGAAATGTCACATTTAGATTTATCGATAAAAAAACTTATATTTTAATTTCAATAAATTCAATTACAATATAAAATATAATACACGAAACATTTATTTTGTTCTTTTTTTCTTAAATATTATTAATTTTAAGTCAAATAGTAAAAGTTACAATTTGTTTTGTTCACGATGTATAACAATGTGAATTCCTATTAATTACTCCACACATGTCTCTCATATTCATCACTTTTATTAAGACAAATGTCAAAATAAATTTTCATGAAATTTAATTTTACTAAATTCGATTACAATATAAAATATAATTCTTCAAGTGAAAATAAAAGAACAATAAATCACAAATACAAATAAAAACACTCATAAGCAATAGATTATTTAGACATCTTCTTCTCCGTTGATATTCCACAAATGGTTCAATAGATCAGATCTCAAACTTTCATTGGTTCGTCGATTGCGGATCTGACTAAGGCGTGCTGAGATATGTGCCGCCAAAAGTGATGGATCTCGTTCATAATGAGGGGGCCGAGAATTCTCTTCTGGTAGTGGCATCCATGGCTCAGTGTTAATTTCACGTTTATCTTCGATTATCAAAGGATAATGCATGTTTTCATTATGTTACATATATCTTCTTTTGATCAATAACGCACGGGTCCTTACGTTATACCCCATCTACTTTGTAAAACACCAAATGCACGCTCCGCATCTTTTCTAATTGATTGTTGTTTTGTCGCAAATAATTTTTCTTTTGCAGTGGTGGGATGAGCTATGGTTTGAATAAGAGTTACATACTTTGGGTAAATACCATCAGTTAAGTAATAACCCGTCATATAAGAACGACCGTTCACCGTATAATGTACCGGAGGCATTCTACCATGTATCATATTATCAAAAAGTGGAGAATGATCCAAGACGTTAATATCATTATTTCCGCCTGACATGCCAAAAAAAGAATGCCAAATCCATGTATCATGGGATGTTGCTTCTAAAATTAATGTTGGTTTGTGGTGGTGCCCCTTGTGTGTGCCGTGTCAAGCAGTTGGACAATTTTTCCATTGCCAGTGCATACAATCTAAAGATCCAAGCATACCTGGAAAACCTCGTGATTCACCTTCTTGTAGAAGACGGTGAATATCATGTTCATTTGGTGACCGCCAGTATTGTTCCCCATATAGTTCGATTATCGATGAACAAAACTCTTTTAAAGTTTCGTTACCAGTTGACTTCCCAATCTTTAAATATTCATCATAAAAATCAACAGATGCTCCATAAACAAGAATCCGAAGTGCATTAGTTATTTTTTGAATAGACGATAAGCCAAGCGACCACGTGCATCTCTCTTTCGGATGAAGTATGTGTTATGATTTTCAAGATCATTCTGAATATGAAGAAACAACTCCGTGCGCATCCTAAAACGCCTGCGAAAATAAGACAATGGAAAAGTACAATTTTCAGAAAAAATAATCTCTCCATAATAGTTTATGACTTTCTTCGCGATCACGATAGATATATTGTCGCTGATGCGGTTGTTCCTCATAAGCTAAAATTATCCGATGAATAAAATTTATCATTTCTTGAGTTTCTTTCTCCATACGAAGAGAAAAAAGTTCTTTCGAATTAGATGATTTAATGTATTCAAATTCATCTGAAGGAAACCATCAAGATGATGAAGCCATATTTAGATGAAATTTATTGTGTATCAATTGACTCATAAGACAATATTTATAGAAGTTGAAAAAATCAAGATAATTGAAGCTGAAAAATAATATAAAAAAATTGAAGTTGGAAAACCAATAAGATAATTGAAGTTGAAAAATATAAATACAAAATACTCCCTCTGTCCCATATTATATGTCTTTTTAGAGAGTTTTTTTTGTCCCAAATTATTTGTCATTTTAGATTTTCAATGAAGCATTAATTGCATTATTTTCAATTTTACCCTTAATCACTCCTAATTAATTAGTTGATAACCAATGAAATGTCGAGGATATTTTAGTAATTGTATCTGTTTTTTTTACTATAATATATGCACATTTATTGATTTTCTTAATATGTGCAAAACAACCCAAAACGACATTTAAATTGGGACGAAGGGAGTAATTGAGAAGATAATTGCTTTGAGATACTCGATGAAATAATTGACGCTCGGAAACCAAGAAAATAACTAAAGTTGGAAAAAAGTGAAAAATAATTGAGAAGATAATTGTTTTGAGATACTCGAGGAAATAATTGAAGCTTAGAAACCAAGAAAATAATTAAAGTTGGAAAAAAAAGTAAAAAAAATAATTGAGAAGATAATTGACATTGAGATAAACGAGAAAATAATGCAATTATTGACTGTCTATAAAGTTGACAAAAATAATTGATGTCTTTTGAAGCATGTCACATGTCTTCTGCAAATTAAGATTGAGATAATCGAGAAATCTCCACAAAATCTTTCCACTTAAGATCTATCCATAATTATATCCAAATTGTGAAAAATAATTGAGGTCTTCTCAAGCATGCCACGAGTTTTCTGCAAATTAAGATTGAGAGAATCGAGAAATCTATCCACAAAACCTATCAACGTAAAATCTATTCATAAATATATCCACTAAAAATCTATACACAAAACATATCCACAAAATATCTATCTGCAAAATCTGCCCACTTGCAAAATCTATCCACAAAAATCTCCATCCCCCCCCCCCTATGTATTTCCTAAAGGCCAAAAAACCCCTGGGTAAAAATAAGTCACCAAAACCCCCCAACAAGTGTTGAATCAAGCACACTCGACCCTTTTTTTATTTTTGTCCGTTGACCGCTTGCGAAAAGACAAAAAAGCCCTCAAGATAAATATATCCGACCTCTAGAATTTTATGACTCAAGTGAAAATTTTAAAATTTTCAATTCAGTCCCTAACACTTTCAATTTAACCCTCTTCTCCAATTGAAAAAAAAAACAACGCACACTTCAACTTTAATTTCTCAGCTCATAGCTCACATAGACACGCCTCACCCACTCAACTCTCACTCAGCGGCGGCAACTGCGTTTGAAAGGATTTTGCGATGGGCTTTGTTATTAGTTATGTTCATTTTCTTCATCAAAAAATATAATGGTATATGATCCGGGCTATTTTGCCCAAGCCCAATAAGCTTACCAATCAACCAATTTACCTCTCCAGCCCAAGCCCACCAACCACATGCCTTGGCCCCAACAAGAGTGGCCCATTTCCACTCTCCTTTATCTAGGGTTAGTATTAATAAGAAGATAAGGAAAGAGAGGGAAAAGGGGATCATTTCAAGAACACACATTATATACACTCTAAGAAACTAAATATACGGAAATACATAAAATACGATGAGGAGGTTCAAATGACTTTATCAGTATATTTTAATCAATTTTAGGTTCTATATTTAAAAAATATAACAAAAAACAAATATATAAATTAATATGTTAAATATTCTCATTATTTTGGTGTCTTTAACATTGAGGATCAAACTTCCCTTTAAAACCATCCAACTCATTAACCACATCACCTAATTTATTATTAATCTATTTATTTTTATAAATTAAATATTAACTCATTCAACAACCATCACATTATCTGTTATAGCAGGTCACAGAACCAAAATTCCTAACTTTTATAACTTACAGGACTGAAACATGGTGGACTAAAACTTCTAACTAGCAAATTTACAGGACTAAAAAACTCATTTTGCCAAGTAAAATAAGGTGAAAATTTGTCCTAATTTTCAAAAAAAATTGACCACATGTTGTAGAAAACAATTGGCCCCTGAAATATGGGATTGATAATAATCGAGTAGCTTATAAACTTTTTTTATGTCAAGTCTTAGTCGTGTAGATTTTGTATCCCCACATGCTCAAATAAAGTTTAGTGGACAAGACACACGAATATGTCATTTAATTTAGGGGCAATTTGCTATAGGTCCCTCTATATTATAATTTAGGGTAAATAGCACTTAACCTGTTCGTGGTTTGGACATTTTGCACATAACTCCCTTGTGGTATGTAATTAGGCACATAACATCCCTGTGGTTTTGACATTATGCAGATGACCCCCTTATGGTATGAAATTAGGCGCATAACCCCCTTGTGGTTTTGAAATTTTGCACATGACCCCCTTATGGTTTGAAATTAGCACATAACCCCTTTGAATAGAAAATTGGAAAAGACTAAATTACCCTTATGAAGTAAAAATTCTTGTTTTAATTTAAAAATAATTATGCTATAAAATGATAAGCTTAATGTATTTTTTTGTAAAATGAGAAATATAATATATTATTGTCTTTTTTTTTACAACACAAAAGGTATATAATACTAGTTATTGTATAATTGAGAATTTATTCGATTTTAAAATCTTTAACATTATCATTAATTATGATTATTATACTATTTTCAATATAATATATTATATTATAGTTGTTATCAAACTTTAATTTTTTTAAGGAACAAAGTCTTTATTTTTTTTGTTCTTTTGGAATAATCTAAAAAACACATTTCTCTAAAATTAAAATGAAAATTAAATTAAAAAAAATATGGGTGCTGTAAAATAGAAAAAAAAATATATTGTATTTCTCATTCTACAAAAATGTACACTTAGCTTTCAATTTTATTTTTAAATTAAAACAAGAACTTTTGACTTGATAGGGGTAATTTAGTCTTTTTCAATTTTCTATGCAAGGGGGTTGCGTGCTAATTTCATACCATAAGGGGGTCAGGTGCAAAATGTCAAAACCACAAGGGGGTTATGTGCCTAATTTCATACCATAAAGAGGTCATGTGCAAAATGTCAAAACCACAAAGGGTTATGTGCTTAATTTCATACCATAAGGGGGTCATGTGCAAAATGTCCAAACCACAAAGGGGTTAAGTGCTATTTACCCTATAATTTATGTGTGTAGATCAAAGTAAAAAATTTCATGTTTTAATAAGTTAATAATATTTATTGCGGCAAAAATACCCTAAGTTAAAATCAAATCAAATCCCAAAAAATATCTCTATCAAAACAAATTCCTAAAATTCTCTCTTCCAAATACTAACTAAAAGTTTAAATTAATTCATAAAAAAAATATACAATTTATTTTACGAACTCATACACTAAAAATGATACCGATGACTCCGGGAACTGTGACGCTTCCCGCGACGCCTATAACTCTGTGCATTGCAAATAACAAATTGAAAATTAGATTTTGTATTATTGAATTGTAAACAACGAAATACCATCGTCAAAAGCAAAAAACAAACTAAAAAAAATCAAGAATTTGCATTTTTAAATTGCAAACAAAAAATTATGTATGATTTCGTCAAATGCAAACAGCAAACTGAAGAAAAAAATTCAGCAGAACTTGCATTATTGAATTGGAAGCAATAAACTACCTATGACTTCGGCAAATGAAAACAACAAACTAAAAAAAAAAATTATCATCATTAAAAACACCAAAAAAAAAAAATTGTTTATGGAACACGTTGCAAACAACAAAAACATCAAACAAAATGTTTGTAAAAATGTAACTTAAGCCCACCCCCTTGCAAATTGTGAACCAGAGGAAATCGAATCTTAACACCAAACGCAATTCTTCAAACAACAAACGAAGTTAAACCAACCTGCAAACGGAAATTGCTAACGATAACGATGGGA